CCCTAAATTTGCAGTCTGCCCAGCCCTCTCCTTCTTGCCTGAGTTTTGTTGCCTGGTCATAGAATTTAATTAATCCCGTGATGCATGATTTGCCATCCAGAATCCCATGCTGTTGTTGTGTTACAAAGTATTTTACAGTCTCTACAGTCTTACAGTCTCCGTGGTGTAGTGGTAAGACACTCGCCTGGCGTTCCGCGAGCGCTATGTCATGGGTTCGTATCTTGGCCGGGGAGGATTTACTGGGCGCAATTCCTTAACTGTAGCCTCTGTTTAACGCAACAGTAAAATGTGTACTTGGATGAAAAAACGATTCTTCGCGGCAGGGGATCGTATTCCAGGGACCATAGGATTAAGGACTTGCCCGAAACGCAACGCGTACTAGTGGCTGTACAAGAATGTAACAACTCTTGTATATATCTCAAAAAAAAAAAAAAAAAAAAAATCGCTCCAGATGTTCCACTAGCTTTTTTTTGCACAATCTTCATCTTGCATGGTATGCAAGTTACGGACACTGGCCTGTAGTTCAGTCCTGTCTATCACCCTTCTTGAATATCGGGACTACATTAGCTGTCTTCCATTTTTGTTGACAATTAATCTGTTACCAGTGATTTGTTATACATCATAAAGAGTGGCAGGCACAGAGCCTTTTTCACATCCAACTCCAGCAGATGCTTCCTCACCTCCCCACAGGTAATCACAAACTCATCGAGTGGTGTCTGGTTAGTTATTCCCGCTCTTATCTCTGGGAGTTCTCTTTGCTCTACTGTGAAGACCTCCAGAAATGTCTAATTCAGTTCTTCTCATACTTCCTTGTCGTTTGTAGTGAATCTGTCTGCCCCTATCCTCAGTTTCATTACCTGTTCCTTCACTGTTGTTTTTCTCCTGACGTGGTTGTGCAGCAATTTAGGTTGAGTCTTTGCCTTGCTTGCAAAGTCACTTTCATATTGCCCTTCTGCCTCTTCTCACCTTGACGAATTCATTCCTGGCGCTCTGGTATCTCTCTCAGCTCTGTAAGTGTTTTGTCATCTCTGATTAGACCATGGGTTTCTCGCCTGCATTTAATTTGTCCATTTAGACTGGGACGAATTTGTCTGCTGCCTCCTTACACTTCTGTGTGATGTAGTAAATATCTTGGATCGTTTTTACTCTGAGCTCTGTTTCCCCAGGTTATATCTGTTTATATCAGGAATTTTCTTATCCCCTCAGTTTCTTTTTCAGAATGCCAGCTCTGGGGTGACACGCTTGAGCTGTGCGTTGTTGTTCTAGACATTACTCCTGGGATAACCTATGTGGGCTGTCAGCCATGTTGCAACTGGTGACGTCTCTAGCAGAGATGGTCAGGAAAAAGTGAAGATTGTACTTAAAATAACTGTCTTACAAATATTTCCTTATGTTCAATGTTTTCACTTTAATAAAATTCTTTTGTAATTACAAATTATAAGGATGAATAATGATGTCTGTTATAAAAGGTTACCCTGTGGTGTATGCTGTATGTCAATGATGTCTGTTATAAAAGGTTACCCTGTGGTGTATGCTGTATGTCAATGAAACTAATCAATTAAATATATCAATCACTGACGACTGTTGTTTGCTTCAGTGTGCTGGGACAGGAGTCATGAAGTATTTATGTAGTCACTTACAAAACCTGTACATCTTTCAACAATTCTGGCCACGTTGTTTTACATGTTATAAGCTCCGAAGCACCACGTTGTTGTTTATAATGGTAATGACCTTGAATTGTGAAGGATCGAAGCTCATCAATTGTTTAACAAATGCAGACAAACCAGTCATAATTGTGGAATGATGAACAGGTTTCGTAAGTGATTGTGTAAATGCTTGGTGAATTCAGATCCCAGACATAGATTAACAGTTAAACTGGACTATAGAAGTGTTCTTAGGACAGAGTTAATAACCAGTTTGTTGACTGTTGTGGAACTGCCAAGAAAGAGATGAGAAGAAATAGTTTCTCATTCCCAGTGATTATTGCCATCATGGACGCCTCCCGCAGACCTGGTGCCCAGCGGGGCGCCTCCCGCAGACCTGGTGCCCAGCGGTGCGCCTCCCGCAGACCTGGTGCCCAGCGGGGCGCCTCCCGCAGACCTGGTGCCCAGCGGTGCGCCTCCCGCAGACCTGGTGTCCAGCGGGGCGCCTCCCGCAGACCTGGTGTCCAGCGGGGCGCCTCCCGCAGACCTGGTGCCCAGCGGTGCGAAGCCCGCAGACCTGGTGTCCAGCGGGGCGCCTCCCGCAGACCTGGTGTCCAGCGGGGCGCCTCCCGCAGACCTGGTGCCCAGCGGTGCGCCTCCCGCAGACCTGGTGCCCAGCGGTGCGCCTCCCGCAGACCTGGTGTCCAGCGGTGCGCCTCCCGCAGACCTGGTGCCCAGCGGTGCGCCTCCCGCAGACCTGGTGCCCAGCGGGGCGCCACCCGCAGACCTGGTGCCCAGCGGGGCGCCACCCGCAGACCTGGTGCCCAGCGGGGCGCCACCCGCAGACCTGGTGTCCAGCGGTGCGCCTCCCGCAGACCTGGTGCCCAGCGGTGCGCCTCCCGCAGACCTGGTGCCCAGCGGGGCGCCACCCGCAGACCTGGTGCCCAGCGGGGCGCCACCCGCAGACCTGGTGCCCAGCGGGGCGCCACCCGCAGACCTGGTGTCCAGCGGTGCGCCTCCCGCAGACCTGATGCCCAGCGGTGCGCCTCCCGCAGACCTGGTGCCCAGCGGGGCGCCACCCGCAGACCTGGTGCCCAGCGGGGCGCCACCCGCAGAGCTGGTGTCCAGCGGGGCGCCTCCCGCAGACCTGGTGCCCAGCGGGGCGCCTCCCGCAGACCTGGTGCCCAGCGGTGCGCCTCCCGCAGACCTGGTGCCCAGCGGGGCGCCACCCGCAGAGCTGGTGTCCAGCGAGGCGCCTCCCGCAGACCTGGTGCCCAGCGGGGCGCCTCCCGCAGAGCTGGTGTCCAGCGGGGCGCCTCCCGCAGACCTGGTGCCCAGCGGGGCGCCTCCCGCAGACCTGGTGCCCAGCGGGGCGCCTCCCGCAGACCTGGTGTCCAGCGGTGCGCCTCCCACAGACATGGTGTCCAGCGGTGCGCCTCCCGCAGACCTGGTGTCCAGCGGTGCACCTCCCACAGACCTGGTGCCCAGCGGGGCGCCACCCGCAGACCTGGTGCCCAGCGGGGCGCCACCCGCAGACCTGGTGCCCAGCGGGGCGCCACCCGCAGACCTGGTGCCCAGCGGGGCGCCACCCGCAGACCTGGTGCCCAGCGGTGCGCCTCCCGCAGACCTGGTGCCCAGCGGGGCGCCACCCGCAGACCTGGTGCCCAGCGGGGCGCCTCCCGCAGACCTGGTGTCCAGCGGTGCGCCTCCCACAGACATGGTGTCCAGCGGTGCGCCTCCCGCAGACCTGGTGTCCAGCGGTGTGCCTCCCACAGACCTGGTGCCCAGCGGGGCGCCACCTGCAGACCTGGTGCCCAGCGGGGCGCCTCCCGCAGACCTGGTGTCCAGCGGTGCGCCTCCCGCAGACCTGGTGCCCAGCGGGGCACCTCCCGCAGACCTGGTGTCCAGCGGTGTGCCTCCCACAGACCTGGTGCCCAGCGGGGCGCCACCCGCAGACCTGGTGCCCAGCGGGGCGCCACCCGCAGACCTGGTGCCCAGCGGGACGCCTCCCGCAGACCTGGTGCCCAGCGGGGCGCCACCCGCAGACCTGGTGCCCAGCGGTGCGCCACCCGCAGACCTGGTGTCCAGCGGGGCGCCACCCGCAGACCTGGTGTCCAGCGGGATGCCAGGTCTGGTGTCAATTTACAGAGCGCACACGACTTTGTAATTGTCAGAATTAGGCTGGGATATCTATGTTTATGGTAGGTGACTGCAAGTAATGAATCCCCCAAATGGAGAATATTCCAACTGTAAGCTATGTGAATAAGAGCTAGGACATGCTCGAACACTATATGTGATTACCCCAGTTATCAATGATTTCACACAAAATACTATGAGGTACTTTGATCTGTAACTACTTCATACACTCAGGAATATTGCAAGATATAATTTGGCACTGCCCAGAGCCGGCTAGTGCCGGCTTGTAGACAAGACTCGAATTTCATGTTCCCTCCTGATCCTATGAATAACCATCCTGAGAGAGCGATATTAAATGAACTCATAAATGCCTTTGATCTACATACTGTACACCTTCATGAAGACTAGGTTGCAGCACATTGCTATGAACACCTGAGCTCTTACTAAAATGAAAAACAATCCCTAGCCCTTATCTTACCTGTACTTTAATCTTCACCAACAACAATGTACTTATATTACTGGGAGAGGTACAACTAATGTTCTATGCACAATAATAATTATATTATATTATATTATACTATATATATATATCACTGAAAACTCACACCCCAGAAGTGACTCGAACCCATACTGCCAGGAGCACTCTGCTGGCGTACAGGATCCCTTAACCGCTCGACCAACACGACCGGACAAAAAAGGATGGTAGCCGAGGATATTTCCATCCCCCCGCCAGCACTCGGTTGGTAATCTTGAGCATGGTATTTTATCAAATCACCTCATTCTTTGGGACACACGTGATTAACACAAATGCGAACAAGCCTGAATGGTCCCCAGGACTATATGCAACTGAAAACGTGTGCCCCGAAAACGGCACACGTCTCACGTGTGCCCCGAAGAATGAGCTGATTTGATAAAATACCATGCCCAAGATTACCAACCGAGTGCTGGCGGGGGGATGGAAATAGCCTTGGCTACCATCCTCTTTTGTCCGGTCGTGTTGGTCGAGCGGTTAAGGGATCCTGTACGCCAGCAGAGTGCTCCTAGCAGTATGGGTTCGAGTCACTTCTGGGGGTGTGAGTTTTCAGTTGCATGTAGTCCTGGGGACCATTCAGGCTTGTTCGCATATATATATATATATATATATATATATATATATATATATATATATATATATATATATACATATAAGTTAAAGAGCAAAGTCTAAACTAACTTCCCTACCTTCTCCACCCGTCTTGTGAAGACCAGGTCGTGGTCGTACTTAAACAAGGACGAGGTGTTGAACTCCAGCAGCTCCCCCGAGGCATCCAGGGGCCCCATGGTACCTGTGGGGAGCAATGGTCAACAGTATATGATTACTATTTATTTACTATGCTGCACACATGATGGTGCCAGTACCACTCTCAGCTCACACCCATGCTGCTGCCAGTACCACTCTCAGCAGACCCCACCCATGCTGCTGCCAGTACCACTCTCAGCACACCCCACCCATGCTGCTGCCAGTACCACTCTCAGGTACACCCATGCTGCTGCCAGTACCACTCTCAGCACACACCCATGCTGCTGCCAGTACCACTCTCAGGTACACCCATGCTGCTGCCAGTACCACTCTCAGCCACACACACATGCTGCTGCCAGTACCACTCTCAGGTACACCCATGCTGCTGCCAGTACCACTCTCAGCCACACACACATGCTGCTGCCAGTACCACTCTCAGGTACACCCATGCTGCTGCCAGTACCACTCTCAGCCACACACACATGCTGCTGCCAGTACCACTCTCAGGTACACCCATGCTGCTGCCAGTACCACTCTCAGCCACACACACATGCTGCTGCCAGTACCACTCTTGGCACACACCCATATGCTGCTGCCAGTACCACTCTTAGCCACACACCCATGCTGCTGCCAGTACCACTCTCAGCACACCCCACCCACGCTGCTGCCAGTACCACTCTCAGCACACCCCACCCATGCTGCTGCCAGTACCACTCTCAGCACACCCACCCATGCTGCTGCCAGTACCACTCTCAGCACACCCCACCCATGCTGCTGCCAGTACCACTCTCAGCACACCCCACCCATGCTGCTGCCAGTACCACTCTCAGCACACCCCACCCATGCTGCTGCCAGTACCACTCTCAGCACACCCCACCCATGCTGCTGCCAGTACCACTCTCAGCACACCCCACCCATGCTGCTGCCAGTACCACTCTCAGACATGCACCAATGCTGCTGTCAGTACTACTCTCAACACACACACCTATGCTGCTGCCAGTACCACTCTCAGCCACATACCCATGCTGCTGCCAGTACCACTCTCAGCCACATACCCATGCTGCTGCCAGTACCACTCTCAGCCACATACCCATGCTGCTGCCAGTACCAGTCTCTGCACACAACACTTATGCTGCTGCCCCGAAGCCCCGAAATCATCTCAAGATATCCTCAAGATAACCTGCCAGTACCACTCTCAGCACACACCAACCAATGCTGCTGCCAATACCACTCTCGGCTACACACCAATGCTGATGCTAGTACCACTCTCAGCGCACACACACCCATGCTGCTCCCAGTACCACTCTTAGCCATACCGCCATGCTACTGCCAGTACCTCTCTCAGAAACACACACACAAGCTGCTCCCAGTACCACTCTCAGCCACATACCCATGTGGCTGCCAGTACCACTTTCAACACACACCCATGATGCTGCCAGTACTACTCTCAGCAACACACCCATGCTGCTGCCAGTACCACTCTCAGCCACACACCCATACGCTGCTGCCAGTACCACTCTCCATTGCAGGCATACCACTTGCAGGCATATAATGTTTTAGCTGCTAAAGAAAACAGATTTAAAATTAAATTCCAATGGATACCATCACATGTTGGCATCTCAAGGCATGACACTGTTGATATGCTTGCTAAGTCAGCCTGCAGAAAACCAGTGGTAGAAATTGATATGGGTGTTTCATTATCAGTGACAAAGAGAATACTTAAACATATATCTAATGAAGATCTCACAGACCTAACAAATTCACAAAGACCTGAAAGTTGTAGCATTAAATATTATGATAGATATCGTGAGGAGACATTCACATATGGGACTAATAGAACAAGAACCCGGCAATGTGATGTTATAGTGGCCAGAATACGCCTGGGATATAGACGTATCTGGCAGCTTTCTCAAAACCCAAATGTCGAGTACACAATGTGTCAACTTTGTGAAAGAGAAAACATGCACTCTCTTGAACATTATATTGTAGAATGTCCCATACCGACTAACTTTCGCCCTCCTGGGCTAAGGTATGCTGAACTCTGTCATTACTATATGAGTACTGGAACACTTGATATATTGGACTTGTATCCAAGATTGACCATGTAATATATCAATTATACAATGTGTGTATGTGATGTAACTATATAACCTAAGCTTGTAAAAGCACCTTAATCACCTTCAGTGAATAAGTGCTTAATTGCACACTAGTTACTCTTATCAGCTATCTCACCCTGTCAGAGTACAAAAGACAAATGTATGTGAATGCATGTGTGTATATATGTGTATATATGTATGTATATATGTATATGTACGTATATGTATGTGCATAAAGTATATATGGAAGCTGATCAGAATTACATTTCACCTTTGTGAATGTACATTAATGACACTATGTAAAAGACACATCTAACACTTTATGTAGGGCATACGTAAATCTGTGCATCTATGTATTTACGCATGTAGGTTAGCTTAGCATTTTAAAAGCACTGAATCACCTTCTGTAGTTGATTGTTCAATAAACCCTTGAACTATTTATTTATTTTATTTATTTATTTATGCATATACAAGAATGTACATAAGGAATGTGAGGATACAAATATGGTAATTGCAGTCTTGTAAAGCCACTAGCACGCGCAGCGTTTCGGGCAGGTCCTTAATCTAAGAAAATTTTAAGGAGGTAAATACTTGCAAAATTTATAGACAAAAAAATGATAACAGATTACATGGAATGAAAAAAAAAGAAGATGAGAGAAAATTATAGGTACAGTATATTAATTAAAGCACATAGGTAGCTATGATTGATTGCAATGACAGCTTGAATGGTAGTTGACAAAAATTGGTAGTCACAATACAGCATATGGCTAGCACATAAAAGAAGACAGCAATGAACACAATGATAAGGTTGTTTGATATTACATAAAAATTAGGAGATTGGGTAACACTAGGTACAGAGCAAATTTAAAGCTCAGTGTAGGAAACTAAATAGATGAAGTTAGGTACTTTTTGGTTTTGCTTTTAAATAAGGCATAAGTTTTACAGTTTTTCAATTCACTAGGGAGTGAGTTCCATAGACTAGGTCCCTTAATTTGCATAGAGTGTTTACACAGATTAAGTTTGACCCTGGGGATATCAAAGAGATATTTATTTCTGGTGTGGTGATAATGGGTCCTATTACATCTGTCCAGGGAGAGTTTCAGAGCATGGTTTGCATTTAAGAACAGGGTCTTGTAAATGTAGTTGACACAAGAGAATGTGTGGAGGGAGTTAATATTTAGCAAGTTTAGGGATTTAAACAAGGGAGCTGAGTGTTGTCTGAAAGCAGAGTTAGTTATTATTCTGATAGCAGATTTTTGCTGTGTGATGATGGGCTTAAGGTTGTTTGCAGTGGTAGACCCCCATGCACAGATACCATAATTAAGATAGGGGTAGATTAGTGCATAATATAGTGAGAGGAGAGCAGAGTTAGGAACATAATATCTGATTTTGGAGAGTATACCAACTGTCTTAGAGACTTTCTTAGTTATGTGTTGAATGTGGGTGCTCAAGTTGAGTCTCTTGTCTAGGAATAGGCCAAGAAACTTGCCATCATTTTTATTACTGATGTTAATGTTGTCTATCTGTAGCTGAATTGCATTTGATGATTTGCTTCCAAATAAGATGTAGTAAGTCTTTTCAATGTTTAATGTTAGTTTGTTCGTTGACATCCATAAGTGGACTTTTTTTAATTCATTATTCACAACATTATTTAGTGTATGTGGGTTGAGGTTTAAGTAGATAAGGGTAGTATCGTCAGCAAACAATATAGGTTTGAGAATATTAGAGACATTAGGCAGATCGTTTATATATATAAGAAATAGAAGAGGTCCTAAGATGCTGCCCTGTGGCACTCCAACGGTAATTGGTAGAGTGGAAGAAGTTGTATCATTGATGGTTACATATTGGTGTCTGTCATTAAGATAGGATCGGATGTAGTCAAGGGCAATGCCTCGGATTCCATAATGCTGGAGTTTAAGTAAGAGGTAGTTGTGATTAACAGTATGTGATTATATTGTGATTAACTATATGTTTAACACTTCTCTAACCCTGTCCATTAGGGACAGAAGAAAATGTATATATGCTGGTTAGCATTGTAAATGTGTGGCCACGTCTGTGGTAGAAAATATTAATAAAAAAAAGTACCACTCTCAGCCACACACCCATGATGCTGCCAGTACCACTCTCAGCCACACACCCATGATGCTGCCAGTACCACTCTCAGCCACACACCCATGATGCTGCCAGTACCACTCTCAGCCACACACCCATGATGCTGCCAGTACCACTCTCAGCCACACACCCATGATGCTGCCAGTACCACTCTCAGCCACACACCCATGATGCTGCCAGTATCACTCTCAGCCACACACCCATGATGCTGCCAGTACCACTCTCAGCCACACACCCATGATGCTGCCAGTACCACTCTCAGCCACACACCCATGATGCTGCCAGTACCACTCTCAGCCACACACCCATGATGCTGCCAGTACCACTCTCAGCCACACACCCATGATGCTGCCAGTACCACTCTCAGCCACACACCCATGATGCTGCCAGTACCACTCTCAGCCACACACCCATGATGCTGCCAGTACCACTCTCAGCCACACACCCATGATGCTGCCAGTACCACTCTCAGCCACACATGATGCTGCTAGTACCACTCTCAGCCACACACCCATGATGCTGCCAGTACCACTCTCAGCCACACACCCATGATGCTGCCAGTACCACTCTCAGCCACACACCCATGATGCTGCCAGTACCACTCTCAGCCACACACCCATGATGCTGCCAGTACCACTCTCAGCCACACACCCATGATGCTGCCAGTACCACTCTCAGCCACACACCCATGCTGCTGCCAGTACCACTCTCAGCCACACACCCATGATGCTGCCAGTACCACTCTCAGCCACACACCCATGATGCTGCCAATACCACTCTCAGCCACACACCCATGATGCTGCCAGTACCACTCTCAGCCACACACCCATGATGCTGC